TTATTTTTCCAGTTTCAGTATGGATCACCTTACTTCATTTTCCACTTTTGTAAACTATGAAGAGAAAGCAAAATGCTCAACGAAAATATAAGAGCTAATTGGGGTAGCCACACATAACTTACTTATCCTATCTTCTTTCTTTACAACGATTTTTTGTTAGTGGTGCTAGTTTTATCGTCTTTTTCAAAAGCCTTATCAGTTCTATGGACAAGGCATATCAGTTGTAAAAATTAAATATTTAACCAACTGTGAAGTCAGTCTGGTTATGAAAGCCCTTTAGACTAGCACTTAGTCTGCATTCAAAGTGTGATTCGAGAGAAGTATGTTTAATTTTAAAGCAAATACATGAATAACTTTTCCAGGTTTCTAACATCTGGATAATATAACCCAGTGATTGGATTAAAAAGGTTTGTCTGAGAAAGAGTGAAGTCCTAGCTTTGAATGCACGAGGAACTCAGGATCTTAAGAAGACTGAGCTTGCTTATGGTTAAAGTTTCAGAGATGTACAACCCCCTCGCCCCTTTGATCTCCTCTGTTCCTCCCATCTCTCTCACTCCCATTCCCCTCATCCTCCACCCCACTCCAAGGCAGTAGTAGATCCAAGCACGGCAGGGCAGAGGAGTCACATAGACTTACTTCTTTAAGAGGCTGGTTCAGCCTGACCCAAGGTAAGCACCCAGGATCCATGAGGAATGAAAGTAAATATGGGTTTTTCTATATCCAAATTAAAAAGAATGCAGTGATAGGAAGCATGGGTCAATAAAGAATGATTTTTAAAGGAGAATATTTCCTCTTTTCTAATTTAATATTTAATTCCATGTATATTCTTTCCGAACATGCCTAAAATAAGGGTAAAATACATTGAATACATTCATAATAGGCTAGAAACACACACACAAAAATTTTACTCTACTTTGTTACAGTATTGAAATGTAAGCATGCATTTAAGCTGTAAGGAAATTATGTACTCAGAACCAAAAACAATTTATATTTTCAATATGTAAATGTTAAATACAAGAGCATATGTAAACAGCTGGATTACAATTATTTTAGTCCTCCTTTCTGGATAATTTAGGATTAAACCAACAAAGCACCTACTATGCACAGATTGTTGCTTTGAGCCCTGTATAGACTAGGAAAAGCAAGCAAAGTGGTTCTCATTCTCAAGGTGTTCACCTGGAGGACGACCAGGTGAAAATGTAAATGACAGGAAACATTTAAGTGGATTCAAGAAGAACATGATATTGTTTGACATCACAATGACTCACTGACAAATAAGCTGCACAGAGAGAAATTCAATAAAGGTTCAGAAGGTCAGAGGGTCACAAGAGTTTACAACTCATGCAGGTACAGGGGACGTAAGTGTTGACCAGTCTTGAAGGTCAGGAAGATTTATATGGTCAGATGGGAGGGGGAGAAAATGCTAGAAAATGCTAGTAATCCAATATCCCATCTCTGACAGCAGAACATTTTGTTCTGTTTTCAACAGAAAAGATCTTTCAAATGACCAAATCTTCAAAGCCTAAATTTGTAATTACTAGTTAATTTCATTACAGCAGGGTCCCCTGAGAAAAGTGATGTATTTTAAATCCAAAAGACCTCACTGCAGAGCTTATTACTAGCATTTTACCAGCCAGAGGACTTGAAAACTTCTTCTAACCCTTACTGACCTTCAGTTTCTGTAATTGTAAAGTAAAGATACTAAACATGACTAGCAGAGATGACTCAATGTTGCCCTGAGGCTCTGGTGAAACATTCGAAATGAACATGCACTTGAGGTGTAAACACAATAAAATGTTGCAAACTGTTTTTAAGGAAAATATCCCTGCCCACTTGGGTAGTGAATTATTGCTATTGTCATGATATAGAAATATTGAGATATAAATATTGAAATCTTTTATTTATTCTTACCAACACTATTCAATCCATGTCAAGCAGTGCAATGATTTTGTCTATAAGGTGTAGATAATTTTCATTTTATAATGATTATTTTTTCAAAACGACAAAGAGGAGAATGACAAGTGAGCATCCTGCTGTTGATCCGTCCAGCCACAGGGTGTCATTCTAGTAGTACAGATTAGCTTGTGTTGAAGCAATACTCTGGCAGCAGGTACCAAGCACCACGTCATATTCAGTATATTAAATAAATAGTGAAAACCCTCAACTCTTACCCAAATTTAATACTTAATTGTTATACTCAGCATTAAGTGCAACATTAGATATTTTCATGGATCTATTTTGTAATTTTAAATGATTTTATCTTTAGAATAAAATATGAAGGCCTCAAACAAAAATTTCTGGAGTTGACATAACTTCAGTGAATTGAATTAGTCATTGTTTGCCTTGGGAGTATCGTGAGAGAACTACGCAACAGTTACCACTCTCCTATATTCAGAGTTGTAAGGAAAAGCAAGAAAGTTGACTAAGAACTACATTTATAAAAACATTTCTCCTTTAAAAATTTGTTTTCATTTATTACATGAAACTATTAAACTTTGTCCTGCCAGTTCCTGATTCAAGTAAAATCCATGTAAGTTTGATGTAGTTAATTTATGCTGAACCTGCAAAACTTTTCAGCCCAGATTTAACACAGACTCTGAAACTACAGTCTTATCCAAATCAGTGTGAACTTGGTACTAGGTAGCCCACATTGGCTTCTGCTTTATTTGGTGCAACTCATTAATCTGAAAAAGGGTAGTTTTAAACATGTAAGGAAACAAGGTGAAAATGGCTTAGAAAAATCCCTATGATCATTAAAACAGTGACAGATTAGGGTTAATAAGAGGTAGTATTAGACTGATACTTAAATCTCCTTTGTCTAGCCACTGGTAATTTGGGGAGACTTAAGCCTCTATCAGAAACTTGAGATGGAAACTCCCTCATGCCTGCTTATATTGTCTGCCCAGCCAATTACCTTGTGTAGAAAACAGATAAATGTTTTATTCACTCATATAGCAGACTTTTTGGAGATACTTTGCCACAATAGAGAGAAAACCAGACACGATTCTTGCACTCATTCTGCTAGCCTTTAGTGAGTGAGAGAGACGTGAATCAAATAACCACACAAGACATAACGTTCCAACACGGTTAGTGCTAAGAAAGAGAAGTACACCACAGTGCTAGAAATGCTCATGTAATTGGGGAATTTACCTAGTCATGGAGATCAGAAAAGGATATCCTGTGTAAGCCAGGGGAGAACTAGGGTGTGATCAGTGAGTAATAGTTAGCAGTCAGATAGAGGTAACGTCTGAAGCCCTGTCCGGAAGACAGCATGGCAAGCTCCAGGAACTGAGGAAGTTTGGGTTGCTGTGCATTGGCAGTGCAAAAAATGTGGTGCAAGAAGGCTGAGGTGGGAGTCGGGAAGTTGTGTCAAGGATTTGGTCTTTCGTCTCTGGTCTTTATGCTAAGAGCAAGAGGAAGCCAATGGAAGGTTCTAAGCAAGAGCAAGGATGGAGGAGGGGAAAGAGGTGACTATTCCAGGATGAGATTTGTGCTTTATGAAAGATTATTCTGATTTTAGGATGCAAAAGTGATTCTAGGGAACCTAGTTAGGAGCTAGAGGATGGGATCTTGGATTAGAGAAGTAAAAGTTAAAAACTGAAACCAAAGAATGGACTTGAGACATCCAGAAAGAAATCCCTTTTCTATTTATAGACTCCATCTGGGGATAGATTTTTGGTTTCATCACCTTAATGGTTGGCGAGACATCATCCAACAAAAGAAGTTGGCTCAAGGGCCTAAACCCTTCAACCACCACCCCAAGGAGAGTAAAAGGAGATTTCCTGGTGTTATGATCTGTACTTTAATGATTTATGCTTATGTTTAGATATATATCACCACATGCTCCTCCAAAAATTATTACCCCGATTTAGACTTCTGCAAAAAGTGTAAGGGAGTTCCAATTTTCCCACATTCTTGATAACTTTGAGAACTGTCAATCTTTTTCATCTTTGCTTATAAAACTTGGTTAAAAAAATCTCGTATTGACATTTCTTCACTTATCAAGGCAATTGAACGTATTTTCACATTTATTAGCTATTTCAATGAATTGCCTATTTGTGTCATTTGTCCAGTGCTTCTGCAGTATTTGTCTTTTTCTGAAAGATTTATAAGAGCTCTAGTCTTTATGTATTTTTCAATTCATCTTCCTGTTTGTTTACTAAGAACAAGTTAAGGGTCTCTGCTTACTCTCAAACTATACTCAATCTTACAGCTTCTGCTCCCTCAAAATTTTCAGTTTACTTGTAACTTCAGCTAGTTCACGGCCACTAGGACCCATTATCAACTCTCAGTACGGTTACCAGATTTAGCAAATAAAATTATAGGGCGCCTAATTCAATTTGAATTTGAGATAAACAACACACAATTTTTTAATATGAGCATGTCCTACACAATATTCTGGACCTACAATACTAAGAAGTGATGTATTTATCTGAAATTCAAATTTCATGGACTATCCTGCATTTTTGGGGGGGGCAACCTTATCTTCGTTTTGACTTCATTTGTCATTACAAGCTGCCTAATTCACTCTATATTCTAAAGAGAAAGAATTATATTATTCTAGACTATCTCAGTTTGAACAGAGAACTCTTATAAGGTTAGTTTACAAGCTGCAGGCTTGCTAATGGATTGATCGCTTTTGGGTGAGTCATCCATGGCAGCTCTGAGGCTGAGGGGAGTAGGAAGGGGTCACTCCCATCGATCGGAAGAGGAGTTTCTCTCAGAAAAGAATGGAAAAGTTACACGCCCCAGGACTATTAAGTTTAAAAAAGTCATCTTCTCTTTTGGCACTTTTCGATAAATCTTGGGAATAGTTTTAAAACATCAATCATATTTATTTTGATTTTTTGAGCTTTAAAAACAATTCTATCATTTGGAAAGGCCCTACTTCACATATCTAGGTATTTCAGAAAAATCAAGCATAGCTTTGGTGGGCTAAATAACGCCCCCTAAAGATTTCCACCTCCTAATCCTTGCAATTTTCAAATGTGTTACCATAGGTGGCGAAAGGGACTCTGCAGATGTGATTAAGTAAAAGATCTTGAAGTGGGAAGATTATCCCGGATTATCCAGGTGGGCCCAATGTACTCACAAGGATACCTATAAGAAGGAGACAGTAGAATTAGAATAAGAGAAGGTAATATGTTAACAGAAGCAGAGTCAGAGAGACAGTGGTCGATGCTACGCTGCTGGCTTTGAAGATAGAGGACATGATTATGAGCTGAAGAAGGCAGGCAGCCACTAGAAGCTGGAAAAGGCAATGAAATGATTCTCTCCTCAAGCCTCCAGAAGGAATGCAGCTCTTCTAACACCTTGATTTTAGCCCATAAGACCCATTTTTGGTTTCTGACCTCCAGAACTGTGAGATTATGTGGGTGGGTGATTTTAAGCCACTACGTTTGTGGTCATTTGTTACAGCAGCAATGGAAACCCAATACAATGACCACGCTCAGAATATTTTTCAGGTTTTCTTGAATATCAGAACATTGCATTCACTATAAACAAAAGTACGATAGAATGAAATCTTAATGATGTTATTCCCTTCATTGCTTATATTATTTTAACCACTGTATTTTTGCCTATTTAAAGAAAACCAATGTATGAAAATAGAATTTCTATAAAAGAATAACTTTTAATACTTTGTGCTCTTCCATCACATATCAATTGAAATGTGGCAAACCAATAAATTTTGCTGTAAAGATACACTTTTTCATATTTGGTTTTCACTATTAAATGTTATCCAAGGGTAACTATTTTTGAAGTATTACGAAATTTAGATTATATTTCCAGAATATGTACCCCAATTGTTTTTAAATCTCACACTTCTCTTCTAAAGATTTATGTACATAGAATAAAGTGTAGTTAGTTTGAATATATATGACTTTTTGAAAATAAAGAAGAGTAAATATTAAAATGCTGTATTTTGAAAAGAATGTGTTGAGTTTCTGCCGTACAAAGACACTCACGTTTGAATATTCTATTTCAGGAAATTGTCATATCTTATCTTCTGTTTTGCATTCATTTACAGTAACATGCTTTAAAAACAGTTTCAGAGAAAAAAATTATATGTGACAACTATACTGTTGTATTCCTAATAAAACAGAAAAATTACATGTTACAAAGAGCCATAATTACAGGGAGTTTCAGAAGATATATTTGAAAAGGTCTAGTGGATTAGTCTTTAAAATGGTCCAGCTGCTGGTGAGTTTGGCTTTAATGTTAGGTTAGATATATTTTCAAGTACAACACATTTGGTTACCAAGCATATCATGGTTGATCCAAACAATTCTACGTTTACAATACTACATAGTTTGGTACTATGGAATTTTAAAAAAAACTGTTTTCTTAGCAGCAAACTCTGTCTTTTTTGAAATTTATTTTAGACGATTTTGAGAACTGCATATATGGTATGAATGTGTTTTTCCCCTCAAGAATGTTTCCATTGTAGAAACTGAAGAATTCCTAAGATATTTAGTTGGTTAGTAAGTTAGTAAATATTTTGAATAACACTGATTGATTCCCTATGTAATAGACACCATGATAACACATGTTAATTCTTGTAATGACCTTGTGGCGCATGTATTCATTACACACATAAGGAAAATGAGGCTGACAGAGTTTAACTTGCCCAAAGCCTGTGATTTTAGCAAATATGTATTTCTATCTCAGCTCTCAATAATATTCTGAATTACACTTTGTGAGTATGGTTTAACCATGATCCTTATGTAGATATAAGTATTATAATTACAGTATTTAAGCTATTAAATCTTTTCATTCAGCAGAATATTATCTACCTTAAATAGTAGTATGTAATAGTCAGTGATGTGAGATTATGCTGTGTAACAAATAATGCAAAAAAAAATCTCAGTGGGATTGTTTACTGCTTACTCAGGTGCAATCTACTTTGGATTCGTATATTTCTCCAGGGCAACTGCCCTTTGTTTGTTTAACATTCCAGCCTGCTCTGTGTATAATTTTGTGTTTTCTTTACCATAAAATCACGCACAAACATACATACACAGAACCCTAAAGTACACTATATAAGGGCCAAGAAAGGAAATGAAAAGCAAGGGGACGAGAGAGATTAATAAAAAAGGGATTTAATGATAGTTTTTTCTCAGCTGAAAAAGTAAAGGTCAAGAAACAATGACAAAAATCTGTAAAAGCACAACAGTACACATAAAAACTAGAGACTGTTGCATAAATATCAAAATGCCCATTAAATTAAACAAGATATTTAAGATAAATAAGCAATAGAAAATGTGGTTTAAAAAAGGAACTTACTATCCTAAGAGGTTGCCACTGATAAAAAATATGAAGGAGAGTCAAACCAGTTTGAGCAAGTTCTTGAATAATAAAGCCTTGAATAACTTCTGAAGTAAACTAGAATATAGCTAAGTTTGAAAACTGATTTCAGATAAGATAATCAGGCCTTCAGGAGCCTGTCCCATGAAGTTGCTTTTGGCTAAGAAATTTAGGCTTGATAGGCTGTGTCTGACCCAGTGTAATTCTTCATTCCTATCTAATTAGCCTCGAGAATGCTATCTCATTTCTTTCTTCTGTTACAATGTCTTTTTTTTCCTTAGATCTAAATTTAATAGAAAAATCTGCGGAGTGTACAATGTGTTGTTCACATCTACATGTCTGTCTTACTCCCACGTACATACACATAATAGCTGAACAGTTTCAAAAAGAATTCAGGAATTTAAAGTTTTAACTCTAGCACGACCACAGATTTAGGATACCATTCACTCTCTTTTCTTTCTTGTTTTGATCCTTTCTCTTTTTCTTGTACCTGACAGACTTCACTTAAAAAACTCAAATTAAAAAGAAAATAGCGTTGGCTGTTTCATCATTATTTCTTATCTCCACCTAAGGTGAATAAAACCAACACATGGAGGAAATTTGCATCAAAGCAGAATAACTAAGAAGAGAGAAAGCATGTTGCACTCTTTATTGAGGTATTTATGTATAAAACTAGGAAGAAATATTAAAACTCCACATTCTCTACTGCTTGGATTAAGTTCTCTTAGTGTATATGACCAGTATTTCGTCAGCTTGTCAAAAATATGTTAATGTAGGTATAATAAAAGATGTAATCTGCATGCCTTTAATGTTGTATTTTATCTTAAAACATAAATGTCCATTCAGTCAAAATCTTTTGTTGATATGCCAAGGTCTGATTCAGGTACATTTTTCTGATTGAATAACCCTCTATTTCTAGTTTCACTTTCTTTAAACTAGAACAAGAACTTAATATATGTTTTAAGCAACACAAGTATGGGATCCTTATGTATTTTTCCCCAATGTTTTCTGGTTGTCTTTTCCACACCTAATTCATGAGCCTTGAGTTTTTGTTGTTGTCGTTGTCATCATTGTTTAGCAATTAGCTCATCTACAGTAAGTAAAACTCTTTAGGTAACCAAACTCCTCAAACCCTATGTTTTCATTATGTAACAAAATTTAACTGAATATTATCCCCATTAAGAAAATTTCTGTAACATTGTATGTAGGTTTTATGACTTTCAAGTCATAGACAAATACGTAACTCTTCGTGTCGATTCACTTATCGCCCCTTTACCTGAAATGTTCTGCCCTCAGGTATGCACAGGTGTTCCCCCTCACTTCCTTCTGGTCTCTGCTGAAATAGCAACTCTAGAGAAAGCCTTCCTCACCAGGCCAAAGTTAGCTCCCACATAACTGTCTATCCCTTATCCTGATTTGTTATTCCTTATAGTACTTAATACCATCTGATAGTGTTCTATTTTTATTTGCGTATTTTCTATGTTTCTCCACCCGCCCTAGAATCAAAGCTTCAGGAGTGCTGGTTTTAGGACTGTTTCTTCTTTCCAGTGCTGTGTCCTAGTGCCTAGAAAAGTCACTGATTCATAGCAGATGATCAAAAATATCTGTTGAACTGATACATGAAATAATCTTGAGCCCCCATTTCTGCTTAATAACAGAATAAATAATCTTGGTACTTCCAAGTAAATGAGGATAAATTTAGTATTTTAACAATCATTCCTGATTTAAACTTAGTCAGATTCGTGGATTCCTCCCTCTTGTCACTTGTTCTCAGGATGGCATCTCAAATCTGGTTACGCATAAGAGGATGGGCTTGCATGCTTTTGCAGTGGAGGAGAAGGTGCCTCATCCTTTGTAATTCTGCACTGGCACCCAGTGAGATGGAAAAATCTCACCTGACACTTGATCTTGGTCCTGTTTTTCTTTTGAAGCTTCTAGTGATGTCTGAGATCTGCCATGATCTTTGATTAACCAGTATTGACTGTCAGGCTCCTTTGGGTCTGCAGACTACTTCTATGATTGGGGATAAAGAGCAGAATAGTAGGCACAGAAAACCAAAGGAAACTCAGAGGTCCACAAAGGAGGAAGTTTTCCGAGGCCCTTTCAGGAACAAACAACCATGTTTCCATTTATAATTTGATGCTCCCGCTTCACTGTGCAGTAGGTTTATGACGGCTTCACCCCAGGGTTCCAAGAAGGAAATGGGGCATAAATGCTCCCAGTTCTTAGATCTGAAGGTCGCTATCATTTCCCACTTTGGAACTTGGCTTAAGATCCCTTGTCAGGAATCCTTAATAAGCGTGATCCAGTGTTATCTGTCCCCATCGTCCCTTTATCTCCCACCACATGGACAAGTATTTCTAGTATTCTCTTACATCAACAGAAATTTTAAGAACCTGAGGCCTTCATGTTCCTAGGGGTTAGAATGTAATGACCTTTTTTTCTTTGAACATATCCATCTTTTGCTTTTAAGCCTTGGCAAGACTATTTTCTATGTCATGGTTTTTAAAAGCTGGTTTGAAACTCTTGTTTTATCTGCCCAACAACTATGTCACTGAATGTCACTTTCAATAGATTGGCAGGTCTCTGAGGCACCTGGCTGAGAGAAGGGTAAAGAGCCTTCACACGTCTCAGAATTTCGTCCAGCTACATGGACTACACTCAACTGACACATACACATACATACATACACGGAGTTAAAAAAAGATTAGGAATAAAGGAAAAAAGAGGGAAGGAAAGAAAAATGGGGTGCCTCAAATTGGCTTTGTCTGACAATGTTTTAACATTGGAATACACCTAAGATAATAATATATTTATGTTTGTAGTCATAACATTGTAAAATAAACACTATCCTCAAGACCAACTGAGAAGAGGACTTGAAGTGAGGGCTTTTAGCGTGTAGGAGGAAAGAAGTATTTATTTTGAAGCAGAAAACACCACCGCCAAGAATAGACAGATGTGAAGGGAGAGATGCAGTGTGGATTCAGAGGTCACTGAAGAATCAACCATTTTGCTCCAAAAGATCTTACCTATTAGATGTTACTTAGGACATCAGGGACATCAGGAGGCAAAACCCAAAAAACCCAAAACAGTTCTGATACCCTTGTCTCTCAAAACAGACATTTCTAATTTCAATGCATGAAGTTATTTGATCATTACTAAATTTTGAATTTATAGAAATTTTCGAAGATATGGAAAACTTAAAATCAAACCAAGAATATTTCCACGTCCTGAAAGATAAGGCCACATTAATATAGTCATTCAATTGTTTCTTTTCTAATTTATGTAAAGTTTTCTTTTCTCTGTCTGCTTTATGCAACTGTGATAATAGTACATATGCAAAAATAGATCTCGGAGGTTTTGTTCACTTGATATTATGACACAAGCTTTCCATATTATTACAAGCTCTTCATTAACATTTATTGGCTACATAATACTCAAGATTGAAAGTCATATGTGCTAAGCAACAGGCATTTTAAATATACAAATTTCAGTGACATATGTATGAGACTTTTTCCAAAACTTTTTATACCATTATTTAGAAACTTTAGAAAACAGTATTTAGAGTATAGTCACACTACTTAGAGTCTGAAATTGTAAAAGCTTCTGAAGTGTTAAAATGTGCCCCCTCAACTGTTTCAATCGCATTTGGGATAGTTGAAGACCCCAACCATTGCATAGACTTGTCTGTTCTCCTCCCCTCAGTATAGCTCCTTCTGTCTGTATCCATTCAGCTCCCCAAAATAACAGACCAACCATTTCCTTCAAATTCTATCCCAACTTTCTTTCTAATGAATTGAATAATCGTAAAATTCTACTACCATCTATGAGGAACAAAACAACTTTAGAAATAACTATTCTATGGTTAATCATTGCTACAATGCTTCACTCAATTGAGAAAATGCTTAAGATTTAAGATTTGCCAAACATTTTTCAATCCATCTTCAATGATTTACATCTAGTTAACAGTTGTCTCCAGGATCAGCAACGTTATCTCGATGGAAGCATCAATTCTAACACATATTCAGAAGTCATATCACAGCAATATTTTAGGATCAGAATGTTGGGAATTGGGCCTTTGGCAAAGCAAATATCCTGTGCAGAATGGTGTAATTCAGGGCTATGTCATAGCTTTTCTCCTTCTGCTTTATTAAATTAATTGGATAAAGAATTTCAGATAATTGAAATGCATGTCCTCTTGACAAAGTACGTGGGATTTCGAGCATTTGTTAATTAGTATTGAAACTGTGTTCTAAAAAGATGCACTTAATTTTCTCTGCACCAAGCAATTTTGGTAATGATGACTATTAGCTCATTTTTCTCTTTACATTTCTGTTGTAACAATGAAAATTTCCACTGAGGCAGATGGATGCCTCATTTTTATTAGAAAAGAAGGTAAAGTGCAAATAAGTGCAAATTAGAAACACACTATTATAGTCGCGTGTTGCTTAACGATCGGGACGCATTCTGAGAAATGTGTCATTAGGCGATTTTGTCCTTGTACAAAACAAACATCATAGAGTGTACTCACGCCAACTTAGATGATGGTATAGCCTACTACACACCTAGACTATATGATGCTAATCTTATGGAACTACCATCGTACATGCAGTCTGTTGCTAACCAAAACACCGTTATGAGGCTGTATGCTTTGTCACTATGCATGACTGTACAGAGTATTCTAAAATATTACTTCACAATTATATACTTGCTTTAGAAAATCACTGTGTTCTTATAATAAGCATTTACTATGATCCTGGAGTTTATCTCCTTCCAGAAGTTGAGGCTTAGTCTTTATCCAAAATAAGTCTCCCCCTGTTTACCAAGTGACATAATAGAAAACCCTGCATACTAGATGGGAAGTCTCACAACCCATAATGAGTGACAACTCTGTCCTCTGGAGCCCTAGCTCCCCTTGCACTGAGCCTATTGCCATTGAGAGCTCAAATGTGATCAGAGGCAAGCACCGAGTGGATTTAAGGCTCAGAGAGAGAGAGCATTTGGCTCTACTGAAAGGCTGCCGGAAACATGAGCTGGTGCCCCATATGAGAGATCTCATCCTGGTCTCCTCTCCAACCCTGATCCAGTGCTTCAATCCCTGGCAGATATCTGGCCTCAGATCTTAGCTTGAAGGGGAAGTGTGTATCAGTCCTCCTGAGAACAGCATGACTACACTCTTCAGCTTCCCTGGACCTCTCAACCTGGCCCTGGCTTACGCATTACTAGGTGTAGGGTTATTCTCAAGCTTAGTTCTACCCTCCTCCAGAGTATACACTTTCCAAATACATCCCCAGCTGCTGTATACATGGCTTGAGGTACCATTTCTGAATCTAAGATCTCTCATACAAAAATGTCAGTATCCAAGAAGGGAACTTCATAAAATTTTCCATGACTCCTTTCTTCCCCTTCTCTGTTGATTATCCTGTGTCTCACTCTGTCACCCTCTATCTCTCAGGATTTCATCTGTGACTCAAGATACCTTGCTTCTCTAATTTAAACTATAGATTTGTTAGCTTTGGGTACAGTGATATGCTCACAGAGATTCTTAAAGCCAAACAATCTTCTTAAACGTGACAGGGTAAAATTATGACTCATACTACATTCAAAAGAAGAGAGAATCCTTGTAAACTCATCTGATCCTTTTCACAGTCACAGAAGAAAGAAATACAGGTTTTCCCCACTATTCGAAAGTTTGCTCTATGCCACTTCACTTTTACAAATGATGTACATTAGTACCTATTTTCGCTAACTGAAAGAAATCCAAAGAGGATTTTCCCTTTTACGAAAAAAGGTGAAAAGCGAAAACAGTGCTCAGAGTCCATTTCGCAGGGAGCCTTTAAAGAGGCAGCACACACCCAGAGTAGTGAGGGGGACCCCGTCGGGCTCTTTTCCTGGGAATTACACTCCCATGGCAGCATCAAGCCACCATTGCTTTGAGCTGTGAGCATCTGTACTTTATCTCTATTTATTTTGGTAAGTTATTTCGAGAGTCTGGGAACACCCCAAACTTTTTTCCATATGCATTAATGGTAATTGCTTCTTCACTTTGTACCATTTTGGCTTACAAAAGCTTCCATAGGAACGCTCTGCTTTCAGATAGCAGGGAAATCCGTAAACCTGTATTTTGTTCAATTAGATGATCTAGGATCGATCCAACCATTGAGATTGTCTCCTTAGGCAATTCCGTCTCCATTTGGAGAGTTCAGATACATCCTCAGTCTCTCAGGATGGCATGATGTAGCTAGCCTCTTAGTGAATGAGTCAGCAGTCGTTCTTTGGGACCTTATGGTCGCAGAGTGGAGATGTGTTCCTTGGATCCATGTGGAAGCCTTTGGATCCCTACTGGTATTTGCCATGCAGGCTTCTGAGGATGCTCCCTAGACTGGTAATCATCGAGCTGAGGGATGACTGGCCTTGTTCCAAAGGAGTCTGCAGGAATCTACTGCTAACAATTGTGATGTAACTTATTGTCCCTTGTAATTTATGGTCTGTGGCCTTTCAATAGAGACAATGCAGCTTGGTCCTCCCCTGCGGCTTATCCCCACCTCAGCAATTGCTGTTCCTGGAGACACCACGTACGTCTGTGATTTCCCTGCTAGTGGCCTACATTGGATTTCCCAGCTTTGAGGATACAATTCTGAGAAAACATTGCCCTGCCTCAATGATCCCCTCTGACAAGAACCATCAGCCAGGCTGTTAAGCTTCCCATGCCCTTCAGAAGCAAGAGAGGAATTCTTATCCCATCCTTATTATATATGAAGCAAAACTCCAGTCTTCTGTCAGCTTAACAATAAAATTCCACTGAGTTTATTTTGAAATGGCTTTCCCAGGGTTAGTATAGGGCAGCTTGGAAGGTGGTCTGCTCCCAGAATATCACATGTAAAGTGATGTTTCTGGAATCTCCTCCTTTATTGTTTCCCATATTGCGCTACACTCTTCTTTCCTAGGGGTGTAACCAGGAGAAACATCACCCTTGCTTTCTTTTCTTCTTTCAATAGTTCACTGGGGACTAGGACAAGAGGGACCGCATTTCCTCCCCCCTTTCCTAGACTAGCCCTGTCTCTTCCGTATCTGGGTCTGGCACATTACAAGTTTTCACTGAATCCTGTGGAAGAAAGTGACTAGAGGAGAGAGCAGCAGGATGAGCATTTTCTTCTGTGTTGAGGCCGTAGTTTCAATAACAAATGCTAGCGATAGTCTTAAGGAAGGTACGGAAGTTGTCCGATTACTGTCAGAAAAAATAAAAATAACTCATTATCATCTATGCCAAAACAAAAACCCACAAATTTTGGAAGATGGAATATACCAAAAAAAAAAAAAAAAAAACCCTCAACATCTTAAGCAAGTTATTTGTCTGAGGAATTACTTTTGAGCTAACTTTTGGCAGATCAAATCTGTTCATAATAAACACATTTATACAAGCTTTACTAAAGTATGTTTGTAATACGTGAAGACAATTGAATATTCCTACTCTTAAAATCCTCCAGGCCATTCTGAACATTTTTCAATGTCTTAAATGGAAATTATTGGGGTTTAAATCAAGCATGTATTAGATGATTTGAAGAGATGCAAAATGACTTTGACCAAAATATGACTGACCTTATCCACAGAAAAGTCCCTATCCTACTTTCATGAAAGATTAAATAGAATTCAAACGTGGCAATAATATATTCCAGTATCCCCAATTTTTCAAGAAAATGTCAACTTTACTTCTTCAATTACAGAATATACACACTTTGAGAGACAGCCAGAGAGTTCAATATTAGGTTACTTACTGTCAAATTCCTTCCAAAAGTCTAGCTAGAGTAGACATATGAGAAAGTTTAACTCTCTATTCTTTCAGGTTCTCCATGAATCACCAGAGTGAAACATATTTATGTTATTTTAATTCACTATGGTAATGCTAAGAATTAATGTGACCTTATGTTTTGAGGACCAGCATGAAAAGACATAAAAATCGTGTCTACATCTTCTATAAATTGCTACTGAAGACTTTGTCCTTATACCTGTTGCGCAATTCTCCACATATAAAGATGTGCCTGAAAACTTTCTCTGAATGAAATAGTTTAGCTCTTTTTTTTAAGACTTTATTTTTTTAGAGCAGTTTCAGGTTTATAACAAAATAGAGAGGAAAGTACAAAGATTTCCCCCACACATGCATAGCTTCTCCAATTATCAACATCCCCCACGAGAGTGGTACATTTGTTACAATTGATGAACCAATGTTGATTCATCATAATCACTGAAAGTCCGTAGATTATATTATGATCCAGTCTTGGTGTTGTACATTCTATGGGTTTGGACAAATGTGTAATGACATGAATCCATCACTACAGTATCATACAGAGCATTTCGCTGCCCTAAAAATTCTCTGTGCTCTGCCTAGTCATCGCTCCTGACACTTAACCCCTGGCAACAACAGGCCTTTTTACTTTTTTTCATAGTTTTACCTTTTCCATGATGTCTTATAGTTGGAATCATACAGTATGTAACCTTTTCAAATTGGCTTCTTTCACTCAGTAATACCCATTTAAGGTTCCTCCATGTCTTTTTGTTGCACTGAACAATATGCCATTGTCTGGATATATCAATTTATCCAGTTACCTATTGAAGGACATCTTGGTTGCTTCCAAATTTTGGCAATCATGAATAAAACTGCTATAAACATCCATGTGCAGGGGTTTGTGTGGACATAAGTTTTCAGCTCTTTTGAGTAAATACCAGGGAGCATGATTGCAGGATCGTATAGTGAGAGTATGCTTAGTTTTATAAGAAAGAACCAGACTGTCTTCCAAAGTGGCTGTTTCACTCCTTTTAAAGGAAATTATTGCCTGGAAGAATGCTCTCACGCCCTCACATGTACTCTCTCAGTCTCGCTCCTCCTCCCGGTCATGACCAACGAACGATCATACTGTGCATGTCATGTGACTTTGATGAGCTTACCATTAATAAGAAGTTTTCAAAAGTAACTTTCAATTCACCCAAAATATAGATTCAAAACCGTAGTATTTTCTAAATCATTAAGTCCAACTATAAAGGTTTATTTATACTTTATAAATCTAATGAATATAATAATCAATTTCAACAGGGCCTTTAATTCATGATTGATCAACCATCTTAATTATTTCTATTTACTTCTTATGCTCCACTCCAAAACAAACAAAATCTTTTAAAATATATAGCCATTTCTATTCATTTAATAAATTAAACATATACATATGTTTAAAGTTATTTTACAAATTTTAATGCTTCTTATAAAGTCAGTAAATATATATTTAATTTTTAACATAATATCTCAGGTCTATATTCAAATGTCAAATAAGATATTTTGAATTTAGAGTTAGTAACTCTGATATTCTAAATGCTTTCAAACAGCTCATCACACTGAATAGGAGATATGCAGAAGCCGTTCCCAAAATTCACACAAAAAGGCTTTTAAAAGTTTAATTTACTTCACCTTTAAATACATATATATAATTCTATTATTGTACCCATCAAGGAAATAATTATACTTAGGTTACTCGTCTCCTGGAGATGTTTGCTTAAAACATGAGTTTTGATTCAGCTGAGGACACTCACTAACAGATAGAGCCCCTTTTCATAATCTATAACAACGAGGGCTCTGTGACCTTCAGAGGGTTCAAAATACCATTCTCTTATTCTTATTCTTACTTTCTTTATCTCATTCTTCCTTCTCCTAAAGAATTCTGCAGCCACGTGGAGATGGTAACTGAGGGCTTTACTACTTGGTTGAACATTGCAAATCTTTGTCTCCCTTCACACATTTGAGTGTTTTGTTGTCTGGCCCTAAAAGCATTTTTAATGTCATTCCACTGGATCCTTCATACACTTATGTCATTCTTTCATAGCCTCTTTTAAATTTATTGCCTGATTTGGGTAAGCAGAATTCTGTATTCTGTATTGTTTTCCTATTTTCCCTGTCTTGCAGGCCACAAGTTTTATAGACACTACACGTCATCAGATTGGACTCTGTACATCTCTCACCTCCATAATCATAACACCAAACTCATGCTGATGACAGCAGTACGTAAAGATGAATGAGATCCAGCACTTGAGCTCATTAAGAATGCCCAGCGCAGTCCTAAGTAGTGGGGCTCCCTTGATTACATGCTCATTAGTTTTCCTTCTTTGTACTTTGCTTTCCACAGAATCCTAAGAAGCACCTTGTTCATATACAATGGTTTACCTTATTTTAAGTTATCCTAGTCTAAACTCCTTACTTTTCTCTTTACCATTGATATAGTGGATCTATTATTCTTATCTCTTTTTACCATAAGTTTTCCCTAATCCTTTTGGAAATAAAGGAGTTCTAAAAGAGTGAATAAATCATTTTATAAGTCCATTATTAGAATCAGGTACTGTTTGATAGGATGTGAAGTCAAACTGGATAGCTCAGTTATTAAGATATCTCATTAACGAAATTTGACTTTTTAATTTATTTAAAATAGCATAGCCTTTAAAGTTTTCAATATTATTCTTTAAAAAATACAGGGCCCTGGGCAAAATTTTCCCAAGAAGTATGTTGCAATATTCTTTTGGAATGAAAAAAAAGCATAGATTCTCGAATCTTTTTTTTTCTTTTTTGAACTATAGTTTAATCTCTTACTCTGTATGCTTGGGCAAGTTACCTAAGGAGTCTGAGCTTCAGTTTCCTCATCCATAAAATGGGAATAATTTTAAAACTAGCCTCATAGAGTTATTCTAGGGATTAATAGAGTGAATGTATGGGCAAAAACAGTAAGCACTCGACAAATGTTAGTGGTTATGTTTTCCCTTTTTTTAATTCCCACAAAACTTGGACAGAAAGAACACTGTCAGTATACTGGGAAGATATTAATGACAAAGGACATTTTTGGTTCTAACAAGTACATAGGCTTTTATGTTCTAATGTATTTAATAGAGTGTTGGAGAATGGCAGTTTTCTTGGCAAGGCTGTAGAGATTGCATCTTGGAAGAATGACAGAAAAGGAGATGCTAAGTTATCAGTGGCCAGATGAGGAAGATTTTAATGTGGTCTCCTAAGCAGTTTGGGATTTTGAATGCTAAGGAGAGAGATCCACTGACAGCCTTTAAGAAAAAGATTATGATTAAATTTACATTTTGAAAATATCAGACTGTTGGCAATAAAAGCCCGACAATATAGAATAACAATATTCACCATAGCAGCAAGACTGACAGAAACCATTTAGAAAGATATCCTAAATATTAAAGAGTATTAAAGTGAATCGTACTAGGAAAGTTTCTCCTCAGTAACAACTACTTACAGTCACCGAGATGTTTTCCCAGTTGATACAATGTCTAAATCCCCTTTGAAAATCTGCAGAATTGGGGCAACAAATCTCTCTAAAGTGACTCTCAGAACTAATTAAGATCAAAAGCACATTTCTCACCAAAATATTAAATTGAAATTTCATGTATGACTAGGAAAGATGTAGAAAAATGTTTATTCACATTGAACTTTTAAAATAGATGAAATTGGCCTCTAGAGTCACTCCTGCCAGTCACTAATTCCAAGTAGCACTTTATTTCATCTTCCTTGTACACATCAACTCAAATAGCCTATGTAGCAGACATTGAAATGTTGAGCAAAAGCAATCTTCACTGAATGCATTTTTAGATGACCTGTGAAGAGAGTTATTTGTTCCAGCCTAGCCCAGGTTATGCAATATTACGAGATTCAGTCCCACGTCTGATCTCTTAAGGCTGCAAGGATACATTATGTCCCACATTTAACATTATTCCTGAGATGAATGTTTGACTTTTGAATTGTTGGAAGCAAATCTGTACAAGGCTTCCCTGGCTCAGCTACTGAAGGGACAAACACTCATTCTTCAGCCAAATGTTTGCTCAACTCATTTCATGGGAATTCTGACTCAGTGTAGAAGCTGTGAATTCTCTAACTCTCACCAGAAAAGAAGTAATGGCTTCCCAAATGCCATGACCTCCAAACTCAGGTAAAAATAGACACCAATACTCATGAAATTGTCTCCTTGTTAAATCTGACTATAAGTTTACTAAATCACTCAGAGCTGAATGCAATAAAAACTGTGAAATTAAGTTCTCCACTTATTGATCACTCTTTAAAGAAGTCGTACATTTTTTAAACTATTCTAAACTTAAGAAAAAAATGACATTAACTTATATTATTTGTTACTTTGCAGTTTCAAAGCAGATAGTAAATCATTATATCTCTTCAAACATTTCTCATTTTACAGAAACTGAGGTTTAAAAGAGTTAATTTTGTCTTATACAAGTACTAAATAAAATTAATCAAACAGAGGCCTTCTAATTCCTGGTAATAGTAAAATCAAAATTAAAGAAAATTACTGTGGGATTTGTCACTATACTTGACTTCTATAGCCACATCTTATGGTAAATAACTGATTTATTCCTTTCAGGACATTTAGTCCTGTCCGAAACGTCCATAAGACATTTAATCCATAAGACATTTGGTCCACAAGGCATTCGGTCCACAACAAAAGTTCCTTGACATTTGGTCCTATCCAAAACTTCCACAAACAGATTTGGTCCATGTTAAATGGTTTTGGAAAGGACCAAATATCAAGGACCTTTTGGTGTGGATCCAATGTCTCCATAGACATTTTGGACATTTCTAAATACGGCCAAATATCAAGGACCTTTTGGTTTGGACCAAATGTCTGATGGATGTTTTGGACAGGACCAAATGTCAAGGATCTTTTGGTGTGGACCAAATATCTTATGAGCCAAATGTCTTATGGACATTTGGGACAAGACCAACTGTTTGCTAATCGATTTATTCACTACACAAATGTTTATTAAAAACCTAGCCCTGTGATAGATGATGGGAGGAATGCAGAGATACATAAAACTGCCCCTATTTTCAAAGAGGTTGCTAATCCATAGTGTATCATCAGGAAGGTGGGGTGCGGGTTTGTGAACATGCATTTGCACACATGCATGTATGTTTCATTTTACTAAAATCAACTATCAGAAGATGAACCAGATTGAATACCATTTGTCTTTCAAACTTCCTAATGAATACCATGTTTCAGGACATTTGGCCCTCCCAAAGTTGGTAGTTGCAAGCTTGTTAAACACGTTCTCACATACCAATCTTTGCTTTTTCTTCTGGAAATTCTAATATAAACATGGTAAAAAACAAAATTATCTAAATGGATTCACGGCTAAAAGGTGCTATAAAATAATCAGCAAATGTATTGAAAAAACATCAGTTGTCACCAGAAAAAAAAATGCATTTTCTTTTGTAAGATATTCAATGTTTATACTCAATGCATAATTTAGAGACGAATTAACCTAGTTTTTCCTTTATAAATAAACTACTATGTTTCCCATGAGAGTTTTGTGAACCAGTTAGTACTTTGTGCTTTTGGCAGGAGGACAACTTTTTAGTACAATTTTATAACCTCAACACTATTGAATTACTCTTTTTAAATTATGTTTTTTCTTGTAGCCACTGTGTACCCTGGGACAATCATCAAACAGTATCTTGAGCAACATTTTCCATTTCCATACAGTTTGACACATAGTATTCTTAATTGCTTTCTCTCTGCAAAGGCAACTTACTTTGAAATGCTTTTCAACTCTGCATCATTTCCCCTCATTTGTAAGGCACCTCCTTTGATGACATAACCAATACGTATGATTTCACTTCTTAAATGCCACCTACAACTTGCTACCCATCTGCTATTTACCTGCAGAGTGTAAAAACAAGACATGTATTAAAGAATCAGTAAATACTTTTAAGTCTGGGGATGCCGTATCATTAATCTTATTGTTTAATGAGACAATTTCTAAATCTCCATGTGCTATCTGACAATTGTCCCTTGACATTTGTAATGTAGCACGAATTTGCAAGGGAATCAGAAAATAGGATGGTTGGCTGGGCCTGGTTCTGAGAAGAGGTTCTGAGATTTAACAAGCATGGCAATGATGGGAAAAGTTTGTTCAGGATAATGTCACATAAGGAATATACTTACTCTGGGGATGACCAGAACATTCCACTGAGCTCAGACACCAGAGCACAACTGCTTCCCTCTAACTCCAGCAACAGAGGCAGCTAGATCTTTCTCCTTTCCAACTATCTCCCTTCTTCTATTGTATCCACCTTATCCTCGTTAAATTTAGGGGTTCAGGGCAACAATTTTGGCAACAGTAATCTTCTGATTAGTGTTTCTGAACATGGCAGCTAAGTCAACATTCATACTTCTTTTGCATGTGAAGCATTTTATTATGTATGAAATGAACTAAGACACACACTTCCTGGTCACAGATAACAAAATGAGATGTACCAGTAGATCTAAACTTTTATCCTTTCTCTAGTAGCACAACTCTGCCTCTCAAACAAAAGGAGTTTGTTGGAAATGGTGTTTACCTTTTCCTACTCAACTGGCATTTGAGAAACAAAGAAAGGTTGAGGTTTTTATAGTACAGTCCTGCCCGACTTTGCTCATAGTCTGTTGCAATTCCATGTAATTCCACCTTGTCACAACAGGAAGCAAGTTAATAAACATGCAATTTGCCCTGAGGACTCTTCTTGTGAAAACTCTACAGGCTTTCCTCTTCGTCAACAAAACCAAAACTTCTACATTAATCCCAACCCTGTCATTAGCACAAACAGCATGAAATCCATACAACAGTGGAAATTTCTAAATTATTTTTAATTTTTTTAAAAAGTGTTAGCATTTGTATCCCAGAAAAATGTAGCTTTCTTGAGATGATGTAGCACATTTATGCTTCTACTTTATAGCAATTTGGCAATAAAATAACAATAGCTAGCATTGTTGATTATGAGGGGATGTTACCTCGCATATTTTTACCCACAAATCTTGAGTATTTCTACCACCTGCTGTTTCCAACCTTGTCCTTCTACTACAAGAAATATAGGACCAGAAAAGAAGGGACAAGTATGAAGAAATAGTACCACTCTTCTCTTCTACCATTTTAAGATTAACAAGTTGTCACCTACACTTTTGTTTATCAATATATATATAGGACAAAGGAAAAGGAAACAAAGAGAAGAAAGAAACAAGCATGATAGAAGGTGATGCTAGTAACAGCTATGATAAAAGAAGAAAGAAGATATTTGGAAAAGGAAAAAGATATGGCTGCCTCTGCTGCTGGAGTTAGAGGAAAGCAACTGTGCTCTGGTGTCTGAGTCCAGTGGAATGTTCTGTTCATCCCCAGAGTAAGTACACTCTTTGTGTGATATCATCCTGAACAAACTCTGCCCATTATTGCCACACTTGTTAATTTTTTTTATTGAATACCACTAAAATTTAGAAATCCATGAATATATTTTTTTAAAGATTTAAGAAAGCAATTCATGGAGCCAAATTCGCTGCCATGAATTGGATGAAAACTTTGCTAGAACCCACAACGAATGGTCCAAAAATGACTCTACCGCGTTTTAATTCCAAAACCATAGATCTGGCTGACCTAGATTGACCCAGTTGTTTTTCCTGGCCATCTCTTCAAATATTACTAGTTGCCTTCTGTTGGGGCTGTTTCAAAAAATGTCATGTTCCTTGTCACCCACATATTTCAGTCTTCTTTCATTCTCAAGTGCTGCTGTGAGGCTGGAGATGGTCAGTTATAAAACTAAGAGGATTCTGGCATCATAAACTGATTATCTTCGATTCTTTTAAAAACAACTACTAACATGAGACTTGAAGTTATCCAGCTTGCCAAATTCAAAAACATCTAGTATTCAACTTGTGTTTGCATTGTCAATGTGTTCTTATTTTCCACTTTCCCATGACTTCCTTTACCAGTTCAACATCTATTAAGAGACTTTTTGAAGTAAAAGAAATATCATAAACGTTTTCACATGTAAAGTATCTCACTCCGGCCATCAAATCAAAACCTTTAGTCAAATAGTAGAGACAGAGTAGAGAATAGTAACAGAGTCAAACTTCATGAGATGTGTTACAAACAAAATTACTTCTGGCTTCTCCTGTACTTTCACTAACGTCACAGTTTGCCACTTAATTATCCTCTAATTGCTTCTCATAAATCATTAATATTGTCCCAAACTGTTTTCTGTGGTCCTTCAGGGCAAGAAGCCTTAGGACCTCGAAGGATCAGACCAAGTATTAGGAAGTTAATGGGTATTCACTAAGTGCTTTCTGAATGACAGTTAATTGCTAGAATACACTTATTTTTGAGTAACTGAAATTACTTCCTTGTGCAAGCTGAATATCAGCTGGTTCACACCTCTCATTAAAGACCAAGATAGTGTTGAAACAATGGATTGCCTCTGCAGTGCATAATTTTCAGGAAGTCCAGCACCCAGAGACTTACAGTCTGATGATGACATCTGACGCTAAAACTTCTGTTTCAGATACACTATGATTTAGATCACATAGGCCCCATGAAGACTGTCCTTTTCATGTACCAAAGAATTTTAAACATAGAATTTAGATTCTTTCTTTGATTCATACATGCATAAACACACAGAATCTATACGTGAATAAAAGACTTTATAAAATTTAAAGAAAGAAGGATGAGTTAGACTGCAACAAGACAAACATCTTGAAATCTAAACCCCCTTCCAAAAAATCAGCTGGGACCATTATCATTGATGGATTTCCATTGGGAACAACCCTGCATGTATTACCCAAGGTCTCCAGTCATCTTTTTTATTCCTTCTCTTCCCTTCCATCTCTCCTCTCCCTTATTCCTTAAAGGATTATTCCTAGAGCTACTGCTTTTTAGTGTTCTTCAATGAAGAGAAATTAAGCTTCCCAAGCTTCAAGCTAGACAGTAAATTCCAGGACCTTAGCTGCACAAATGCTTTGAATAACACATTTTCAGATAGCTGTAAAAGGCAATTTATTTTTCCCTTCTACTCCGGAATTTCCTTCACTGTCAATAGCTCTAAATGCTAGGGAAAATGCAGAGGAAATGTTAAATAACATTTCTTATTGATATAAGAGACAATATCAGATTTAAAGAATGATATCTTTTAAATCTTTAAAAAATGGAAGTAATGTGTCACAAAATCAGAGAAGTCATAGATCATGTAATAGTGTTCATAATAAAGAAATCTGAAGAGGAGGATAAGATGTGTCCAGGGTGGACAGAAGAACCAACATTTCTTCAGCATCCTCTATACCAGACAGTATCTTTTACCACAGAGAGTGAGTAACCAAAAGGTCTGTAGATTGAACACATGAATCTGAATAGAGCTGGGATTCAAACTCATGTCTCACTAAAAAGAAGAGACGATGAGATGGACGACTTTCTTAGCCAACAATCACTCAGTAAGTAGGTATTAAGTTATCAATTCTACACTATTACATGTTTCCATCAAACTATTTTATTTAGGTGTATCCTAATGCCATATATAAAAGATTTGACGTGGGTTATGATAAAACAGAAAATTTGATTAAAAATTTGATTAAAAAATATGGTAAAACAGAGCCATGGAAATTTAGCTAGCTGAGAGCAATATTACCAAAAATAAACATTATATAAAAATATAGGCCAAAGGATGTTATACAATCATGAAATACTGATACTAAATTATACTAAGCCTCTTGACCAGAAAAGTAATGAGAAACTCGATTAGTTATAAAATTCATGTCTTGCGTTATTAAAAAAATGGAGCAAATGTGTAAGAGAAATAAAGGTTTTCTTTCACTTCTTCTTAGAAAAATTATTTTTATGGTTAATGTAATGGATGCTTCCCCAAAAACTTTTTGACAAGTAAGGCAACAGTAGATTTCATACAGAAGTAACTTATCTATTTCTTCAATGAATGAAAGCGTAACTCAGCAGAAGAAATTCAGGGGGAAACGTAAAATGTGGCTCAAATATGCAGTTACCTGTTGCCAAAATAAGCAAGAATTAAACAATAGGATAAACAGATTGCATGTTCTTTAAAATAGCCCTCCTTTATAACCAATATTTTGGTAAAAGATGCATATTGGTTGACTTTGAAGATATAGTCTCTAGCAAGAATTCAAAATGTAGGTATCATCTCTAGCTTGTAAGAGGAGAGGCATGTGTCGTCTGTATGAATGAATACATTTGAAAGGATATAATACTAAGTGTTCATAGTGGTTGTCCAGGGAGGTATAATTATGAGTATATTTTGTTTTGTACATTTTTTGTCTTTCTTTAAGATTCGACGTGAAGTGGGTTACGTAGAGATATGCCAGAGCCTCCTCCCTCCCCTGCCTCGTTGTGCCTGTTTAAGGTTTGTATCAATGTTTAAAAAATTTGTAACTATATGTAGGCATGGATGTTAACTAGATTTGTTGTGGTGATAATTTCCCTAGACATACAAATATGGAATCTTTATGTTGAACGCCTGAAACTAATATAATGTTATACATCAATTATATCTCAATTAAAAAAAGAAGGCATCATCAACACAGGTATCAACTATGTGGATAACATGTTGCCATAAATGAGCATGATATACATGCAATTGCTTCATGCTGTGGATGTTATAAAGGAGTGAAAATACTTGGCTCAGATGAATGTGGGCCATAGTTAATGAAAAGCCAAGAATAAGTATAAACATGAAGAGATGCAAAAAAGCAAGGAAAAAACAACTGTACAAATTAAAGATTAGGATGACTCTTCATAAGAGCAATATTTACCTTAAAAAAAAAAAAAGAGAAGAAACAACAAAGGAAAAGAAAAAGAAAGTCGGGGGGTCTGGTTGCCTTCAAGTTAAAAATGAATCAACAGCATGGAATAGCCATCAAAAACGTTCTTATGAAGATCCACTACGTCCAGAGCAACAGAAGTGAGCATCCTGCTCTGTTTTAGACCTCACAGACCACAAACGGAGTGCTGACTCCTGTTTGGGGATCTACAGTTTAAGCAGGTCACCAACAAACCGGAGAGAGTCCCAAGGTGAGTAACCATAATGTTGATGAAAGCAAGAGAAGTAGGTATCGGAATCGGAAACTTTAAGTCCAAAAAGTGAAATTTTAGGGACTAGGAAGAAAGGTTAGATCTTCACATATTAGGAAGAGGGTTATGAGGAAGAGGGATCACATTTTCTTCCTCTGTTTAACCCAAATTTAGCAGACCTAAGGGATGACAGCGGGGGTTATCTCAGTGCAGTGGGGAATCTTCTTTTCATAATCATGACCAGCTTTCATAATGCAAGTACTCTCTTCATTTCTTTGCTTTCCACTCTTTTTAGTTTGGTTTCTGTCCTCATTTCTATATCAAACTTGTTCTTGATAAGACTTCTATGTTAATAAATCTAAGAGATGTATTTCAGAAGTTATTGTAATCAATTTCAGCAGCGTTCAGAGTCACCTGTTCTTATTTTACTGCAAACTTTCCAATTGTTCTGTATCTATTTTCTTTTTAGTCTCATTCTCCACAATAGTCAAATTAAGGACTTCTTTTCTTATTCTCTATTCTCCCCTTACTTGACAGTTGGACATCTCACAAAAGTAGTCTCCATCACAAACTTCTCTTCTGAATTCCGGATCACTATCTGTAAATGCCTACATGATGTCTCCTATTGTTTATTTTAAAATGACTTCAAACACAAGATGTCCAAAACTAGACCCAGATTCTCTCCTCCATTCCTCCCCCCCAAAAAATTCTGATATTCTTCCAGTATTCCCTGACTTGATGAATAGCAACACCAACAATTCTGTGGTCCAATCTTTTTGTGGTATATCCTTGAAGTTCTCTCATCTTCTCCACTCCTCCATTAATCACTATATTCTGTGGATTTAATTTTCTAACTATTTTCCAAATACTTTCACTTCTCATCCCCTCATTAGCACTCCAGTCAACGTCACCATCATTATCCATTCATGCTTTTTACTATATTTGCTTCCCAGCAGGTCTACCTAAATTCTGCTCTTGATACAACCCACTTCTGATTGTTCTCCATGTTTGTATTGATATTTTTTGGCTTCCATAACAAATTACCACAAGATTAGAGGCTTGGAATGATACTCATATTTTATCTCACAGTTTCTGTGGGTCAGAAGTCTGGGTCAAGGTTAGCTTAGCTTGTTCCTCTACTCTGCATCTCACAAAACTAAAAGCAAGGTGGAGGCATGACTGCATTCAGTTTTGGAGGCTCTGGGGAAGAATCTGCTTCCAAGCACATTCAGGTGTTGACCTAATTCAGTCCTGTGCTTGAAAGACTGAGGTCACTGTTTCCCTGCTGACTGTGTACAAGGGTCACCCTCAGCTCCTAGAAGTCTCACTCCATCCTTGCATGTGGCCCCCTAAATCTCAGAACCAGCAAAGGCATGTCAAAACCTTCTCCCATACAGAATCTCTCTTTCTCTTCTGCTGAATCTGTCTGGGTCCAGTCAAAGAAAGTTATCTACCCTTAAAGGCTCATGTGATCAGATTGGGCACACAGGCATAATCCAAGATAATCTTACTATATTAAGGCCCATAACCGTAATTACAGCTGTAAAATGTTTTTTGTCATCTAATGTAGCATATTCACAGGTTCCAGAGATTAGGGTGTGGACATCTTTAGAGGGTCATTCTGCCTCCCACAACGGTCAATGTCATCACTGCCGTTAGCTTAAAGGCAAATCCCCTTAACACAGCCAACACAGCCCTGTAATAAATGGCCTAAACCACTCCTTCAACCTTGATCAATGCAACTTTCCCCTCATTTTCTCTAGCCCAGCCACACTGGCCTTCCTTAAGGCCCTCATACTTTTTATGCTTCCATCCTCCATAAGGACATTACACATACTGGTCTGTCTGCCTAGAAAATTTCCTTCCAATTTCTTTCTCAGATAATTTCTACTTATCCTTCTGCTTTTAACCTTAAGACAGACTTCTTGATTAGGTCAAAATCCCATTTGTAGCCCTGTGTACCAGCTCTTCATAATCTGTCACAGTTTGATTTTACAGTAGTCTGTGATTATGCAACCAAAATCTCTCTCCACTTTGGCAACAGCTCCATAATGTAAGGAGTGTGCTCACCTCTGTGTTGGCAAAGTGCCTGCCACCAGCTAAGTGCTCAACAGACACTCCTCCAGGGAGTGCTGTGGGAATCGTCACAAGGAAAACTGCTCCAACATGGAATTACTACGTTGAAATTCATAAATTTCCTATACCTGATTTTTCAATATTAATAACATATTACAATATCATTTTACAATGACATCATGTTAAAGACGTTTCAATATATATAATTTATACTACCTATAATAATAAAGTGTCATTAATCCTATAAATGTTAGACTATCTCTTGACCAATTGTAGATATAGATCATTGTCAATTTTAGTTTCTCGGTTTTGCCTTTTAATGCTGAATGGGATTTTTTTTCCAGTCTCTTTTTCAACTGAGGACCCAAGAAAACAAGTGCCAACCATTGCAGCATAACAAAGGAGGTCTTAGATCATGTATCAGGACTGAAAAAGAGATGCCAAACCAGTTTTGTCAACTTTACCTAAGATGTATCTTCAAGTTATACAAGCAAAGATTAAGAATTTGGCCAAAAAATTGAAGAACTGTGCCATGTACATCTCCAGTCCTTCTGCTGCACCGCCCCCCCCATGGGAGAGGGAAGCATAGAGCGTCCCCTGGAAGAACTTCTTTGGGATCCCTCAGAGAACTTAATACGTGTCTCCTGGAACTTAAGGAATATAGTGGAGTGGTGCCTTACTCAAGTTTCAGGAAGCCGAAGTGGAAGAAGCTGTGTAAAGTGACAATGCCAGCAGGATAGGGGCTACAGCTGAGAGTTAACTGCAATCACTCAGAAAGCCACAGGTCCCTAGAGAGGCAAGGACTCTTCACCACAAAGAGGCCACGGGAAGAGGAGGAAAATGGAAGGGCCCCGCTGGTGCAGAGGCTTTTGCTCGTGTCAAGAAAATTACAGAGGAGAGATTCTCGGTGATGCGGGAATCTCCAAGTGCCTATGGGAGAGGCCATTTAAAAAATGCGCCACAAGCAGCAAAACCACCCCCAGCTGAAAGACTGTCTGGTCTGACCCCAAGCTTGGAGAGGCTGAAGCTGGAACTAACAAGTAAGAGGTAGAAACTGGCAGAACAAAGAAAGAAAAACTGATTGTATGCCCCTTTTCCAGTGCCAACAGGAGCTTGTGACAGGCTGAGATGGGATGGCGAAGGAGGAGCAAAATTTGAACTGAATTTGGAATTTTGTCAAATTAATTAAATAAGTGAAAGTCCTTTGAGGACTAAAGAGACAGGAGGTCTTCTAAAGATTATCTAATAGTAAAGTAACTACCAATCATTTAGTACAAGGAAGGGGGAAACCAACATAAGCAGCCAGTTTACAGGAGAAGACGTGAGAAAAATTAAAATTGTTTTAAAATTGCCTCCTATGAATTATTTTCTTAATGTTCATGGTACATATTCAGGATACACAGATTACAAAATCATTAAATGTATACATCCACATTAATGTGAGCATTTCTAAAACCCTGGAACAAGCTATCAAATATATGCAAGGTGAAATAAATGCTCAGTTTTTAAGGATAAAGCATAAACAAAGGTGCAACTTCTTTTGCTTAATTAGTTCCACTTCTTACAAAGTAAAGTATATTTCAATGACAAAAAGTCACGTGGTATTTCACTCTTGCTTTTGTGTTAGCACATAAGAGCATCTTGAGAAAGTGATGAAAGAAGAAAATATCTGACATCCAGATGTTTATTTTCTTAAGAAATATGTCTAAGAGTTAGATATTTGCCACATTTAGACTTGCGTGGCCTCCACAGAGATGACAGAAATCTTGTTCCAACTTGAGAGTCCCAGAACCCTCTGAAGTGGCTGAGAGGTTAGCACAATTCAGAGGCAGGACGCACCAATGCTATCCGTCTTCAGCTCAGTCATTCAATATGACAATACAAAGTTTGACCAAATGTGAAATTATGCCAATCAACCACTTCGTTTGTGTCAGAGTAGAACTTCACAAAGGATGATTGCTTGTATATATATATAGAGCCCAGTGTCAGATAATCACAAGGTCTGCATTTCTCCTTTATTATAGATCATGAATTTGGAAGCTGATTAAATTCGCATGTTCAGCATGCAACAAAGAGTTCTAAAGGGGGCTGGCTCCGTGGCCGAGTGTTAAGTTCCCGCGCTCCGCTGCGGCCGCCCAGGGTTCAGATCGTGGGCGAGGACATGGCACCGCTCATCAGGCTGCATTGAGGTGGGGTCCCACATCCCACAACTAGAAAGACCTGCAACTAAGATATACAACTATGTACCGGGGGGGT